ATATAAACACAAATGCAGTATAATGTGATCCTTTATTGACTACGTTTCGCCCACACAGTGGGCTTTTTCAAGTCACAAACAGAACTACCTGGGGTGGAAGGAACGCGAGTATTTATAGTCCGGCTGAGGTCAGGTGAAGAATGCTGCATCTGATGATGTACCGAGTTGGGTTGTAGAGTCTAAAAACTTGGGTAGCTTGGGAAGGAGACTGGACAAGTTTGTGAGCAGACCTTCTACAGTGTTCTTATGTGGGATAGCGATGAAGAAGTTTCTTGGCAAGTGGTTCAGCTATGTTATAGAAGCCACTATTCTGGTTGAAGTTGTCGGATATAGAAATAAGTGATGATTCCAGGATTCTTCGGTATTGAGTGTTGTCTTCTGTGGCGATAAGTCTTGAGTTTCTGTAGTTTATCAAGTGGTTGTGTGAATTGCGGTGTTGTACGCAGGCATTCCTTGTGTCGTCAGACCTGCTTGCGTATTGGTGTTCTGAAATACGTGTTTGGAGGTCCCTTGATGTTTCGCCCACGTATAACTTGTTGCAGTCATTACAAGGGATTATGTATACCCCTGCAGAGGATGGAGGCTGCAACAAGTTATACGTGGGCGAAACATCAAGGGACCTCCAAACACGTATTTCAGAACACCAATACGCAAGCAGGTCTGACGACACAAGGAATGCCTGCGTACAACACCGCAATTCACACAACCACTTGATAAACTACAGAAACTCAAGACTTATAGCCACAGAAGACAACACTCAATACCGAAGAATCCTGGAATCATCACTTATTTCTATATCCGACAACTTCAACCAGAATAGTGGCTTCTATAACATAGCTGAACCACTTGCCAAGAAACTTCTTCATCGCTATCCCACATAAGAACACTGTAGAAGGTCTGCTCACAAACTTGTCCAGTCTCCTTCCCAAGCTACCCAAGTTTTTAGACTCTACAACCCAACTCGGTACATCATCAGATGCAGCATTCTTCACCTGACCTCAGCCGGACTATAAATACTCGCGTTCCTTCCACCCCAGGTAGTTCTGTTTGTGACTTGAAAAAGCCCACTGTGTGGGCGAAACGTAGTCAATAAAGGATCACATTATACTGCATTTGTGTTTATATTGCCATTGTGTCGGTATTTTATACCATTTATTTCCACCTCCCGTTTTACTGAACCTCCCCTGTTCTACTGAACCTCACCTGTTCTACTGAACCTCACCTGTTCTACTGAACCTCACCTGTTCTACTGAACCTCACCTGTTCTACTGAACCTCACCTGTTCTACTGAACCTCACCTGTTCTACTGAACCTCCCCTGTTCTGTTGAACCTCCCCTGTTCTGTTGAACCTCACCTGTTCTGTTGAACCTCCCCTGTTCTGTTGAACCTCCCCTGTTCTGTTGAACCTCACCTGTTCTGTTGAACCTCACCTGTTCTGTTTGAACCTCACCTGTTCTGTTGAACCTTCCCCTGTTCTGTTGAACCTCCCCTGTTCTGTTGAACCTCCCCTGTTCTGTTGAACCTCCCCTGTTCTGTTGAACCTCACCTGTTCTGTTGAACCTCACCTGTTCTGTTGAACCTCACCTGTTCTGTTGAATCTCACCTGTTCTGTTGAACCTCACCTGTTCTGTTGAACCTCACCTGTTCTGTTGAACCTCACCTGTTCTGTTGAACCTCACCTGTTCTGTTGAACCTCACCTGTTCTGTTGAACCTCACCTGTTCTGTTGAACCTCACCTGTTATGTTGAACCTCCCCTGTTCTGTTGAACCTCACCTGTTCTGTTGAACCTCACCTGTTCTGTTGAACCTCCCCTGTTCTGTTGAACCTCCCCTGTTCTGTTGAACCTCACCTGTTCTGTTGAACCTCCCCTGTTCTGTTGAACCTCCCCTGTTCTGTTGAACCTCCCCTGTTCTGTTGAACCTCCCCTGTTCTGTTGAACCTCACCTGTTCTGTTGAACCTCCCCTGTTTTACTGAACCTTACCTTACTAAATCAAACCTCCCCTTGAATTTTTGAACACTTCAATCTTTTCCCTTTTAATCTCTCCTTTGTTTTTTTAAAGCTACCCTGTTCTTTTGAACCTCCCAACCTCCTTTAAACCTTCCCTTCACATTTCAGCCTCCCTCTTCACCTTTGAACCTTATTTTCAGCCTCCCTCCTCTGATCCTTCGATTTTTTCCTTTGGTTCTTTAAACTTTCTCTGTATCTCCTTCCATTTCTGATAGTTGACAAATGTAAGAATGTGAATGGTTGAAATTGGAAATCTCTGCCTGACCTGTGTGTTTGTGTGTACAATAGTAAATATAGAATTTTCCATATTTGGATTGCTTACATCACTGTGAATATTGGTATACACAGAAAAGCCAACAGCAATGTACCAGTGGACACACAACCGAGGCCCTTTTTTTTTTTTTTTTTTTTTTTTTTTTTTTTTTTTTTTTAAGGATTTAATACGATATAAACAATTTACGTTGCAGACGTGAGGTAAACTGTGTATCCAATCTATATATATATATATATATATATATATATATATATATATATATATATATATATATAACGGTATTTTGTATATTTACCACGGGTGAAGATAGTGTGGCAATACCTGTGGCTTGCACGCCCATATCGCGATAAGACAATGATATCGCTGGCGCTGGGTGACATGATTGCATCACTTACATAAGGTACCAAGAGAAGGACAAGAAAAGATAATTACATTGTTTTGGAAGAGTGATGACTGTACCATGAGCAGAACTTCTCACTGTTGCTTTATAAAGGATGTGGGGGAGATGATCAAAAGAACCCTTTGTTTTTTGAGGGAAGAACATCAAAGCACCTCAAATCTGGCTTACAGCCAGAGAGCTATAATTATCTCCTTACTCGGAGATAATTATAGGATACCTTTTCGACGGTGTTCTGTAATAGGTAGCTACTAGTAGTAAGTCTATTTAGACCCTGCATATGAATACGGTTACACAAGTATATGTGACTGCAACATATATACATAGTATCTTCAATGTGAATTTCCTAGGATAACATTCGTAATAACATATATGCAAGTTTCTTAGGATAACCTAAGGAAGTCAGGCAGAGTGACTTATCGCCTCTGAGGTCCTAGTGTTATGAGTCATTGCAGTATGATGGGAGATGTGAGTAGGTAAATAAGTAGGGATCTTTATATATTATCTTCTCTGCTAGCACTTTCTTGGACGATCTCTGACGTATGGCAGTATAGGGCGACAACTAACACGTCTGATTTGTATAATAATGTAAGGTTAAATAAAGCTTGAGTGTGTGGATAACGAACTGCTTAGGTAAAATAATTCTATACGGCACTAGATTGACGTCAATTATATGCGGTATCGTGTTGACTACCGCTATTCATTATTATTCTGTAACTAGGTTTCTATAAACTTCTGAGGTTCATTGCTTCCCTCCCCCCCAATAAAGGAGAGTGAGGAAACGAGTGAAGCTTGAGTAGTGGACGACCCTCACACTCCTCGGTGACAGCCCGACGCTTCATGCTTCTGCCTTGCCTCAGAGAGAACATTTTCCATTCCCATGTAGCTTGTTCTGCATTAAGATCGCCTATTGGCGATTGTACTGCTTATATATATATATATATATATATATATATATATATATATATATATATATATATATATATATATATATATATATATATATATATATATATGCAAACAATCTCAGACAGGCGATCTTAACTATGCAAGACAAGCCATGGGGGATGGGGGTGGAAATCTTTACCTCAAGTACTTTCACACTTCTCAGTGCATCATCAGGAGCTGTGCAATGTAGCAAGGCAGTAACTGAAGGATTGAGGGGAAGTATTCTCAGAATAGCGCAGTCCGGGTTTGTCACCTGCCGCAGCTTCTCTTTGCAAATGTCAGATTTTGCCTTGTTTAATTATGCCTTTTGT